TGAGGAATTCGTTGAATCACCCCCAAAACCCCAAAACCCCAGCCTTCAAAATTACATATAAACATGATGAATATTTATTTCAGAAATAAATAATTTATAATTAGAGCTGCAAATGGAGAGTGGAACCCTATCTAAAGCTGGATCACAGATAATGAACAGAGCTCAGTCTATGGGCAACCTTCAAGTAAAAACAATGACACATGGACCTGCAGGTATCACAATGGAGAGGTCACCAGACAGAACTGATAACCAATTCCAATCGACCAGCAACCTTCGTAAATAATCAACTTTTTAATTTGATCTTAATCATGATTGTTAGATAAAATATCTGTTGGAGATATGGTCAAGATGTCTCTTAAGAACAATGATATCTTTGGTATCCAAGGTTATAACTTGCCTAGAACTGAGCCATACCCAGGCGGTGCAAAAAATGCATTCCCCAAGACCAAACTCAAGAATTTCGCAGATCTCGAGGCTAGCTTAACCAAGCATGTTCCAGGCCCAGGCGAATATAAAACTGTTCCTAAATGGGGATGTCCTGAGAAGAAGGTTAATCCAACAAAGAAGAACACATACATTGAGCAGATCAATAAATTAGAAAAGGATAAGCCCAGCCCAGCTACTGTAAGCTCTATGACCTTATTGACGTTTTATGTTAACATAATATTCTATAGTACGAACTTAAATTCAAAGCTGTGCAAGCCAGAACCGTTGGTGGATCCAAATCCACATATGCTGGAGTTAACTTCATGAGTGACACTGAGTTCCTAAGTTCTAACGTCCCAGCTCCTGCCCAAAAAGATGTTAACCCTGATGTAAGCTCTAGTTCAAATTGATGATAATTAGATTGCTAAAGTGAAAACTTTGGGAAGATGTACGTCTGTAGTTTAATTTAAGCATGAAAAAGCTAAGGAAAAAGACTGGAAAACAAAAAAGAGTGAATTGCCAGGACCAGGTACTCATGTCAATTCAGAAAAAGCTTTTAATCTAACCCTTGAAAGCAGTCCTGCAGTGAAGTTCAAGACTGGTAAACGTATTGCTTTCGCAGAGGCAATCTCAAATGCAAAGAAGTTTGTGCCATCACCCAGTTAATATAACTTCAAAGAATTCAAGGAGGAAAAAATTTGGAAAAGATTGACTAGCAAAAGGCAATGAGTAACTCCTGGAGCTAAGTAAATTTCGATTTAACCGAAACTTTAAGTCTATACTTAAATTTAATACTTTTCTAACAAATTGTTATTAGTGAATCAATACCTTAATCTATTGGCATGGGGTTTTGGGGTTTTGGGGTTTTGGGG